TTTTTTTTTCCCTGAAATTTCATAGGAAACGCTGCAGTTGTTTACCAGAACAAGTTCATTAAGTTTGTCTGAAATCTACCTAAATTTTTGGACTGCCGCCTCGATTTAAACAAAATACAGCCAATACTTTAAATACCTGTGGTCAAGGCATTACGGATAATTTATATTGCAGGGTTCTGAAGAGAACTGATGTGAAGAAGCTTGCCTGGAATGGATTCATTATTCGTAAGTCTTTCTAAACAACTTTCGAAAGGGAGAGGCATTGACAGCCTCACCAGCGGATGGCTGTTGACAAAAAAAAGCCAAAAAAATAAAATTATTATAAAAAAACTAGCAGTGTAAAAAATGCTGAGATTACGGTCATGATATGAGATAGGTACTCTCCTACTTCAAGGACTAACCCTTCGTTTTTTATGTTGGGCCTAGCGTATCGAAATATCATTTTTATTAAAAAGAAGAAATAAAAAAAAAACTTTAATATCAAACACACAATAAACATAAAACGCGATTGATGCTCCCCCAACACACTACTCCCTACTTCTCAGGCAGCGCATCTTCATATGCGGAAGACCCTAGGGCAGGCAGAGCTTCAGCCCATCAAAAACTCATTAAGAAATCTCTGCGGGATCCAGTGCGCTCGCCCTAACATTTAAAGAAATTACGAGCATTATACGAAATTACAGCATTTTTTCCTTGTACTATTTTATTTTTATTATCTTATTAAAAACTTTTTTCCATCAAAATATTCATTGCTAAACAACGAGGGTGTTTTTAGCGTGTTTTTAAGAAAAAATGGCAAGAGCGTCAGATGGCCAAAGTAAGATCGATGGTAGCCCGAATGCGCCGCGTTAACGAAAAACAGCAATTGTTGCGAGCATTAGCATAGCCAGAACGAAAGGGGAGCAGGTGCCTCTTTTGCAAAGAAAAACATATGTTAAATCTTTATTTTTAAATTATTAATTAACACCCCTGTTCAGGGATCTGTGTAACTGTACTAGCGTGTGGTAGCATCCTAGTAGCATCACTGCACCGGATTCCCACATCGATTGTTCGAGCAATCTTGGTATTCCCCACGTGCCGGATCAGTGAGGCGCTAGTGGCTGGGTCATTATGCATTTTAGCTGTAAACGAACATCTTTCAGTGGTTGCTATAATCGGCGGCGTTGTAAGTGCCTATTTAGCCGTCGAAGAAATCCTAACAGTTCATTTCACGCCACCTTGCTACCTCCGAGCAGTGCTGCCCCAGACATCGCATCATGACGTCTTCCACGGTGAAAAAATCAACTGCTGTGGTGTTGGACAGAACATCTACGTCGGCGGCAATGCTACCGAGATGTGCCGAACACCAGAAGATATTCTTATGTAAATTTTAGGCCTGTGCAGTGAGTACCAACTTTTTTGTTGTACGGGCCTAGATTTATCA